AAATAATGGTTTATATTCATATCTCTACATCTATCCTGATCGATTCCTCGAACAAAAGATTAGACACCTCCTTTTACAGAGCCCGTAGTCCTAACCATAGAGGTACTCATCTCTTGTAAATGTAATAATTGTTATCCAGGCGCCTTTAGCATCGAGCGTTTAATACGGTTTCTCTCCGTTAATCGGTGTTCCTTACTAATTTAGTTTATGACATTGAAATGCTTACAACAACGCACATTTATAAACAAACAGCGACACAGATTACGGAAGTTCTGTGCATGCTATAATGCACTTACCCATTACATGTTAAATTGTATTTACTACGTCAGAGCATGGTCATTCGCATTTTTCATTACGAGACCGATTTTCAGCGAAGAATTCGGCAAGCTGTTAACTTAGGAAGATATGCAAATTCCAGCTTGTCTCTTTGGACATTTACCGCTCATCGGCAATGGTTCGAACCTCGGCATGGTCGATTTGTCAAGGTAACGTTGATAATATAGAACACCTTGGAATATGATCCTGTAGCGGACTTCGCCACATTATTTTAACTTTAGATTAGGAAACAAAACTGACGTAGAAAAGGATAAGCAAAAGACATCGTTACACATAAAATATGTATTTAACAAGATGTACAAATATCAAACAACAATGTAAAAGAAAGCATGCATTTAAGTAAGAAAAGGTTGAATAAAACAAGAGTTGTCTCTCTTTAACTATTATTTTTATATTTCAAAGTTCACTGAAAGAAAGTTTATGAGAGTTTATTGTAATAATTGTTCTCAGCAGAGTTGCTGTGTAAGGAAAGATTATGTGAGTGTATAAGGAATGTTCAGCATGTGAGTGAGAAGGTTGGTGCATGGTTTCAACTATCGTGGATTCGTTTGGCAGCTGAATTCTCACTAATTAGCTAAGAATATTTCTTGCTTATATAAGTGACTATAGGCTCCAGACCGCTGCGCGGGAAGAGTTATTCTTCACATGCCGACGATCTGATTGGTTGGTATTGACCAATCGGCGAGGGAGTTTTGGGGAGACTTAAGAAAGCTTCTGGGATCCGTCTCTCCCAAAAGTGCACAAAATTGACTACATGAAAATAGCGCGAATACAATATTGTCGCATTGCTGCGATTTGTAAATTGTCTGTAATAACGTAGTGGTGATTTATTAACCAATGAATGCTTGTCGTTGTATGTGATTTTTATTTGTGCATGTACGTATGTGTGTGCGATATAGATCAGCACAATCCCACTGTTATGAAGTGTTGGAAAACCATACCACGTTCGACTTAGGCCTTCTAAAACGAAACTGGTTGTGTTGGAGCGAAGTCAGTTTGAGCGTATTGGCTGGTTATATACTGATCACCGCAAATTACTCGCTCTCTTTGCAAAATTAGGTCCACTCAGCTTAGCTGCAGTATAAACCAAAGCTTGGTTTTGTGCATGTAAAGGTGGGGGAAACATAAATATACCTGAGCAGGCGCCTGTAAGAGGGATGAGTTTCACAACTGACCCACCAAACTAGGCACATTGTATCAGATCACTCATTCGCTGCGTATTCCAGTTCCACTCGAGCAGCATCTTCCCACGAAGCAGTGGTTCGTGGAACCGACTCCCAAGATGTGGCTTCCCTGATCACCACAATCTTAAACTGTTCAAGTCTAGGGTTAACCGTTATTTTACCCATATACCTCTATATACTGTACCTCTTAATCTATAACTTTCTACCTCGGGTGACTCTTGGGCCTTGTATAGCGTGAACATTATAGCAAAATAAAGACGGACATAATCTCATGGTTGTACTCTTAAAGAGGCTCAACAGTTGTACTCTCAAAGAGATCTAACTATTGTACTCTCAAAGCAGTTTCTTACTTTAAACGTCTACCGGGAGTCAAGGGTCACTCAAGATCTCAAGCGGAACTCGTATATTCAAACAATCGCTACAAATGCGAGTAAAAGGAACTTTTTCTTGTACCACACTATAAAGTACCCTACTCCTCCTGCCATGCTATATATTTACAAGAGTCGGATCAAACTAAAATGGAGTATTGCAGTCATATATGGGCTGGACCTGTCGAATCCACAGCGTTTAAAAGCATTTACATGGCTTTATGGGTGTTGAATTATTTTGCTCCCTACAACCGCTTTCGCATAGTCATGAAAACCTTGCGAGCTACTCTATCGCTATTTCCATGTCAAATGTTCACACTAACTACATTCCATAGGTCCTTCATAAATACATACACAAATTGGGCACCCTCATTCACTTTGTATTTCATTGATAAAGATATCTCACGCACTATGTATCCACAGTCAATTTGTTGAACAGTCTCCCGAGAGAATGCTTTCCCGGTCGCTACGATATTAATCTTCTTCAAGTCTAGGGTTGACCGTTATCTATCCTAAGTAAATGGCGCAGCCACTCGAATCCGAGGATGCCTGTCAACTAGGACGGCTAGCGAATCCCCATTGCAGACGCCTGCTCAGATACGTTTGTGTTTGTTCAACACCTACAGTAGTTTATACTGAAACTATGCTGAGCGGACCTTAGTTACAGTTTCTACAAGAGAGAGCGTGTTATCTAGCGTGATCAACTGTATGAACAACACTCAAACCCTCGGTCACGATTACTTGTGACTTCGTGCTAACACAACTACTGACGGTTTCCAATTTCACTCACAAGGCTTGAGTCAAACCGTGGCATGGTTTTCAGGCACATTCTTCCAGACCGATAACATCAAGAAGTCACCTTCTTGACATGTGAGATTCGAACCCAGGCCTCATGGTTAGAAAGCAAACGTTCTAACCATTCGGCCGACATATGCACTTCTCACACCTCCACCCTTTAACCGCTTACAACAATCTCATTCATTATTTTTTATTGATTGATTCGTTTTTCTATGGCTTTTTTACAAGTTATTTAAAACTAGAATTTTTTTAGATTGTAAAAAAAAAATTGAGTGTGGGAGGTAATAATGGTTTTGTGATACAAGCTTATTAATTAACCCATATCTGGGGAGAGGGGGTAAATTCATACATTTCCCAAGGTTATTTACACGTAAGTAAATAAAACGAACCCGATGGGAATTGGAACACAGTTCTCAAATTAACGAACCATTATCCATTACATCATCCACACATCCAAGCTAACACCACATAAAAGGTATCATCGAAGCGTGTGAACAAATATCGCCTTTTCCTTGTGTACAGAGAAAGAGAAAGGAGATAGCGATTAAACAGATACTAAAATTTGCAACGTGTGTTTAGCGTATCAGCAGATCAAGCAAATCGTAACATATTGCAAGTGGATAAATATAGACTGACTGAAGAGCTATTAAAATTTCAATATACAATCCTTGAAGAATTTGTGATGATAGGACGATTAAGAAATTGATTATTAAGAAATAAAATTGAACTGTGAATTTTATTGATTCTAGAGAAATTGAAGGTAAATAATTTTTATTTGATTTTCAAGTTGAATTTATTTTTTACATTTTCTTTATTTTTAATGAAAAAAATTCATTTTAAAAATCACCAGTACAAAACATATGGTTAACACTAGAAGAAGCGAGGCGTGAACCTACATCCTTTATATCGTGAGTTCTGTTTTTTATCGCTTTTTAAGTTTTTTATCGCTTCAAGTTTTAGTTTTTGTCCCCAGTATCTTATTTGTCTGTCATTATCTCCTTTATTTACGATTTTCGCCTGGATCTCATATGTTCATCTTTATCTCTCTAATCTTATGCGTTTGTCGCAAGCTCATTTATTTCACACGTATCTCATATCTCCCACGCGTTTGTCTTTATCGCTTTTGTATTTACGAGTTCGTCTTTATTTCTCATATCCCAAACGTTCGTCTTTATCTTCTTTATCTCGCACCTACGTCTTAATCTCTTTAATTCTCAGGCCTACTACATTGTCTCTTTTATCTCACGCAATTGTCTTTATTACCTTTATCCCTCGCGACTGTCTTTTTACATCACGCCTACGTCTTTATCTCCATTATCTCACGCGATCGTCTTTAACGCCTTCATCTCACACGATCCGTTCGTCTACATCTCCTTTATCTCACGCGCTCGCCTTTATCTACTTTATCTCACGTGATCGTCTTTGTCTCACGCGATCGTGTTTATCTCCTCTTTCTCATGCGATAGTTTTTACCTCTTTTATCTCACGCTACGTCTTTATCTCACGCGTACATCTTTAGTTCATTTATTTCACGTGACCGTCTTTATCTCACGCACACATCTTTACCTCATTTATCTCACGCGACCGTCTGTATCTCACGCGTACATCTTTACCTCATTTATCTCACGCGACCGTCTGTATCTCACGCGTACATCTTTACCTCATTTATCTCACGCGACCGTCTGTATCTCACGCGTACATCTTTACCTCATTTATCTCACGCGACCGTCTGTATCTCACGCGTACATCTTTACCTCATTTATCTCACGCGACCGTCTGTATCTCACGCGTACGTCTATATCTCAAGCGATCGTCTTCATATCAGTTTATTTACTTTATCTCACACGATCGTCTTTGTCTGACACAATTGTCTTTATCTCCTTTATCTCACGCGATGGTCGTTATCTCCATCATCTCGAGCATACGTCTTTATCTCCTTTATCTCACTCGACCGTCTTAATATCACGCATACGTCTTTATCTCCTTTATCTCACTCGACCGTCTTAATATCACGCATACGTCTTTATCTCCTTTATATCACGCGTCAATTTTTATCTACTTTATCTCCAGCGTTTCTCTTTATTTACTCCATCTCACGCCATCATGTTTATCTCCTTTATCTCACGCTTACGCCTTTATATCCCTTCTCCCACGCGATCGTCTTTATCTCACGCGATTGCCTCTATCTAACTCGTTCGTCCTTATATCCCTTATCTCACGTGATCATCTTTATCTCTTTTTTCTCACGCATACGTCTTTATCTCCTTTTTCTCACGTGATCATCTTTATCTTTATCTCCTTTTTCTCACGCGATCGTCTATATATGACACTTTCGTCGTTATCAGCTTTATTTCACGCGGTCGTCTTTATCTCCTTTATCTAACGCAATCATCTTTATATCACGTGTACATCTTTATCTCATTTATCCCGCGCGCCTATCTTTATCTTCTTTATCTCACACGATGGTCTTTATATCACGCGTTCGTCTTTATCTCTTTTTTCACACGCGACCATCTTTATCTCTTTCATCTCCCGCGACCGTCTTTATATGACGCGTACTTTTCATCGCCTTTATCTAACGCGATAGTCTTCATATCACGCGTTCGTCTTTATCTCTTTTACCTCACGCAATCGTCTTTATCATGAACGACGTCATGGCCCATAAAATTCAGCGTTAAATTCATTCGTAATATAAATCCGGGAATAATTACAGATTTCTGCTTATAAAACGTTATTAATAGGTTAACCAATATAATACAAAACAGCGAAATACAATGGCTTATTCAAAATATTTGCAAAAATATATAAGAACTGAGTGCTAATTCTTGCATTGTCAAATTACGGTAATGATATTTGGTTTTAAATGTTAAACTTAATTATCTAACACTGAATTTTGTAAATTTTAACCCACAATCGTTATATTGTTTACAGGGCATCAGGAAGAAAGCAATTGTCAATAATCAGGAATTATTTCAAGATAGAAATGTGTAGGTAGTATAAGAATTAACAGCCTTGGAAATTGTAATACGTGAGGCAAGTTCATTTGATTACAATTGTCCAACTTCAGTTTAAATAACAAGCTAGCCTTGGGTGGTAAGTGATGAATTTCAAGCCATGCAGAAATCAACGAGAAACCACTCCACTATCTTTCCCAAGAAGTCAGGGTAAATCACAGATAATAAACTAAAGGAATCTGTGGAGAGCCATGAACACGTACATTCTGAAGGTACATGACATTTTTTTAATTTACTGATGAAATAAAGCTTTATATGTTAGATGTAACGGAATTTCTATTTCCTTTCCGCAAGAAATGTACGCATTGACCCTAGAAGACTAACCATCAATTAAAGTTACACCACTACTAACCATTGGTATATTTTGAAAATATCCAAAAAAAATATTAAATATAAATCTTTATTTGAAATATTTTACATTCAACTTTGTTATTTTACTTCAAACTTTGTACTTTGAGTTAACATTAATAGGAACTGAAAAACATTATTTAGATAAGAAAATCAGGTACTGAAAATTGTAACTAAAAATGGGAAAATTTGCGCTGGGTACTATATACCCATGGTTAGTGTTCTAGCGTTAATGACGAATAAACAGTTTATATGTACGAGTGCTAAAAGGCTCTCGGCCCAAACAAATTTCCCAAACTTTGACCAAATAACCTAACATCAGATTTTATTTTAATCCTATCTCAGTCGATAGGAAAAAATTAAGGGCCCCTACGTGTAATACTATAGAAATGTATTGATAATCATTTTAGGATAGAATGCATTGTAATTTTGAAAGAAAGGGATTGTCAGTGTTCAGAACCTGTTACATAGCATGACTCGTCTGGTGTTGACCCTCATGCAGATATTATTCATGGCGCCCAATTCGTTCAGCTATTCACAATCGTTTTATCAGATCAATGATTAAAAATGGCTTCAGGCGAATGAACTCAGTAGGTTTTAAAGAAGACTATCTAAATACCTTGACTCATGTTCTTAAATAACCTAGATTTATTATCTTGATTATCATATAGATGTCATACATTTCATTCAAATTGTTTAGAAATGTCTACACTATCAGCTATATGTAACCGTGTTATCAGACCAATGATTAAAAATGGCGTAACGCTAATGAATTTTCCAGGTTTTAAAGAAGACAATATTTCATCAGATCTTATAGACTGGCACTGCACAATTGCAGGGGACTTTATAAAATAACAAAAAAACAAAACAAATCACCTGAAGACTTCCAGCTGCAGCAACAACTGAAAATGAAAGCACATTGAACTAGAAGGGAAAATAATGGCACAATCAAGATGTTAACTTTCCACGCTACGTTAAACAAAAGTTAGTTTCTCATCAGTATTTCAAAAGAGCGATAACAGTTAGTGGACTTGAGAAACCTATTTTCCTTAAAATTGTTTTAAGAGAAAGATTTTATAAATTTTTATCAAACGTTCGGTCAATGAATTCCTAATGTTTCTTTATAAGGAAACGGCTATTCTCATCATTATATGCGTAATACTTCTGACAGAATAGAATCATTTTTTTTTAATAATTTCACCCCCAAATTTATCCATCCCAAGAGATGATGGTAAATTTTAGATGAGTAAGAAAGGGGTCTTGGAGAATTTGACACTCACATTGTCATTAAAGACAAGCGAGTCAGAAGGAAACAGCGAATAACCTGCCTAATCAGCTTGAGTAAATGAGTGGTAGAAAAAGGGGAAAACATTGCTTAGAACTACAATGGCCAAGAAGCTGCAGAGAGCTGGGATACCCCACGTTCTGAGATGAGGGGACACAAGATATGAAAGAAAAAGAACCGAAGTATATCAAATAAACAATATTTGAGAATCATTTGCAGTGTGTTTTATAGTCAAAGCTCGTGCTTAACATCAAAAAGAGACGGATAAATTTTCTTGGACGCATAATAAGGAAAGCAGATTTGGAGAATTTGAAACTTACAAGACATGTTGAGGGCGAGAAGGGCAGATGGAAATATCGAGTGCCGACTCAACAAGCTTCAAAAATGGATAGGAGAGCAGAGGCAAATATTATCTGGAACTTTTTTACGCTATTCTTAACCCAACACAAAGCCCAAAAGCTATTCAAGTTGAAGGCTTATTGAATGGGTTTTTTTATGAACATAAAATCTGTAGAATATGGCATTAAGTAGGCTAGAAAACGTATGAAACTATTCTAATAGAACTTCCTTCTTACCAATGGAATACGAAAGGAATAAACATGTTTAATCCTTGCGTACATAACATGGCGGTCAGGTTGAACAGTTTGAGCCATGACCACCCACAAGGCCATGGTATATAAAACACGAAAAAGAGATTGCACAAGTTCAAACCTACCCTCTCAACTTGAGGACTTTCAACAGCGGTGACAATTAAAATGAATAGCACATGTAACTCAAAGAAAAAATGATGACATGATCGGGATGTTGACGTTCCACACAACTTCAAGCAAAAAGCTAGGAAGGAAACGCCGATCAATACTGGAAAGAGTGACTGAACTTGAGAAACATATTTTCATGACAAATTGTTTTAAGAGAAAGATTTTGTAAATTTCAATCGACGCTAACAGTTACTGCTCGATCAATAAATACTGAATATTTCCTTATTAAGAAATGGCTAATATTACCATTACCAATAGAGATTAGAACAGATATTATATTTTGATCCAATTTTGGAGCAAATAAATGCTGTCCTCGTTTAACACTGGCTGCTTGGTTAATGAATACCGACTTGTTTCGTTATAAGGAAAAAGCCAATATTATCGTAAACATTAGAGATTAAGAGAACAGATACTTCGCTTTGATCACAGTCTTATCGACAGAGAGTAAAAAGAAGCGTAACTCGAGTAGTAGTAACTGCTTGATTAATGAATGCTGAATGTTTTCCTTTTACATTCTCGCATTTAACGGCTCCTGCTTTAAGGGTTTCCCTTTTCCTAAAAGATCTAACAATCAATGTAAGAGAATCAAGACTACCTATCTTCTATTTAACCCATATATGGGAGAAGACGGCTTTATGTATTTCCTTATGGTATTATACGAAACATAACGTAAGAAACTGCTTCAGAATTTGAACTCGTCTCACCGACTCCATTTTACACTAATAGTTATTATGCCACCATTGCATCCCATTGTAAGTTCATAAGTTAAATTTTCATCGGCTGCTTCTCTAATTAATCGTCATGCAAGACGATGTTAAGCTATCTTAATTTCTTAAATTATTAATGAGATAATGTGAATTCTTCAGTATCCTATTAAAATCTCCATAACCTGCATAAAACCTTAATGATATACACACATCTTAATTTGTATTGATGACCTCGAGATCTTAACAAGATAATGAATTTAATATTCATTTAACATAAAGTATCTTCCTTGATGTCTGTCCCGAGACTAAAATAAGAATAGATATCAATGAAGAGAGAATAAAATGAGAAGAAAAATGCATTTTAGAAGCATTTCTGCTGGTTGAGATAGTTGCGTATTTATCCCTACTTTATCGGTTTTCGAATGTTTACTTAATACAACACTCAAGAGCCACTCAAGGAAGAGTAATTGCTCAGATTTTGTTATTGACCGCTATTTTGTGTTTAGTCTGCAAACCTCGATTACATAAAATTCTAGTTGGTACCCTGTTCAAAACCTCCAGTTCGGTAGTTGTTTTGTCTACATTGGCACGCTGGGCTACCGAGAAAAAAAACAACGTTAAAAGTAGACTCGGTATGCGCGAGCTGATATCCACTTTAAAAAAATTAGCGCATTAAAAGAAGGGACCATTCTCAGTTGATATTTGCACACGAGAAACAAGTAAAAATAATTTGGTAATTTCTGTTTGAAAAAATGTCATATAAGAAAAGTGAATGGAATCGTCCTTTTATGTAAATAAGTGGAATTAAGCGGAGTTGAGGAGAGTTAATATTTGGTCCATTGCTAATTGTAACTTCTTGAAGTAAATCTTCTTTTCATTACTTACCTACTAGTTTGTCTCCCTTATTTATTTCTGTTATCTCAAAAACACGAGATACAACAATTGGTGACGAACGTTTTGAGATACAGGACTTGTTTTTGAAGTCAACTTCTTCTAGCCTTTGCCTATAGAGGCAAGAACTACAAGGCAGCAGAAGTGGATTTGTTTTTGAAGTTACCTTCTTCTAGCCTTTGCCTATAGAAGCAGGACCTACAAGACAGCAGATATGGACTTGTTTTTGTAAGTTACCTTCTTCTAGCCTTTGTCTATAGAGGCAAGACATACAAGACAGCAGAAGTGGATTTGTTTTTGAAGTTACCTTCTTCTAGCCTTTGCCTATAGAGGCAGGATCTACAAGGCAGCAGAAGTGGATTTGTTTTTGATGTTACCTTCTTCTAGTCTTTACCTATAGAGGGAGGACCTACAAGGCAACAGAAGTGGATTTGTTTTTGAAGTTACCTTTTTCTAGCCTTTGCCTATAGAGGGAGGACCTACAAGGCAACAGAAGTGGATTTGTTTTTGAAGTTACCTTCTTCTAGCCTTTGCCTATAGAGGCAGGACATACAGGGTAGCAGAAGTGGATTTGTTTTTGAAGTCACCTTCTTCTAGCCTTTGCCTATAAAGGTAGGACCTACAAGGCAACAAAAGCAGATTTGTTTTTGAAGTTACCTTCTTCTAGCCTTTGCCTATAGAGGAAGCACCTACAAGGCAACAGAAGTGGATTTGTTTTTGGAGTTACCTTCTTCTAGCCTTTGCCTATAGAGGGAAGACCTACAAGGCAACAGAAGTGGATTTGTTTTTGAAGTTACCTTCTTCTAGCCTTTGCCTATAGAGGGAGGACCTACAAGGCAACAGAAGTGGATTTGTTTTTGAATTTACCTTCTTCTAGCCTTTGCCTATAGAGGGAGGACCTACAAGGCAACAGAAGTGGATTTGTTTTTGAAGTTACCTTCTTCTAGCCTTTGCCTATAGAGGGAGGACCTACAAGGCAACAGAAGTGGATTTGTTTTTGAAGTTACCTTCTTCTAGCCTTTGCCTATAGAGGCAGGACATACAGGGTAGCAGAAGTGAATTTGTTTTTGAAGTCACCTTCTTCTAGCCTTTGCCTATAGAGGTAGGACCTACAAGGCAACAAAGGTAGATTTGTTTTTGAAGTTACCTTCTTCTAGCCTTTGCCTATAGAGGAAGCACCTACAAGGCAGCAGAAGTAGATTTGTTTTTGAAGTTACCTCCTTCTAGCCTTGGCCTATAGAGTCAGGACCTACAAGGTAACAGAAGTGGATTTGTTTTTGAAGTAACCTTCTTCTAGATTTTGCCTATAGAGGTAGGACCTACAAGACAGCAGAAGTGGATTTGTTTTTGAAGTTACCTTCTTCTAGCCTTTGCCTATAGAGGCAGAATCTATAAGGCAGCAGAAGTTGATTTGTTTTTGAAGTTACCTTCTTCTAGCCTTTGCCTATGGAGGCAGGACCTACAAGGCAGCAGAAGTGGATTTGTTTTTGAAGCTACCTTCTTCTAGCCTTTGCCTATAGAGGCAGGACCTACAAGGCAGCAGAAGTGGATTTGTTTTTGAAGTCACCTTCTTCTAGCCTTTGCCTATAGAGGCAGGCCTACAAGGCAGCAGAAGTAGATTTGTTTTTGAAGTTACCTTCTTCTAGACGTTGCCTATAGAGGCAAGACATACAAGGCAGCAGAAGTTGATTTGTTTTTGAAGTTAACTTCTTCTAGCCTTTGTCTATAAAGGCAAGACTTACAAGGCTGCATATGTAGATTTGTTTTTGAAGTTACCTTCTTCTAGGCTTTGCCTATAGAGGAAGGTCCTACAATCAGCAGAAGTGGATTTGTTTTTGAAGTTACCTTCTTCTAGCCATTGCCTATGGAGGCAGGACCTACATGGCAGCAGATGTGGATTTGTTTTGAAGTTATCTTCTAGCATTTGCCTACAAAGGCAGGACCTACAAAGCAGCAGAAGTGGATTTGTTTTTGAAGTTACCTTCTTCTAGCCTTTGCCTATAGAGGGAGGACCTACAAGGCAAGAGTAGTTGATTTGTTTTTGAAGTTACCTTCTTCTAGCCTTTTCCTATCGAGGCAGGACCTACAGGGTAGCAGAAGTGGATTTATTTTTGAAGTTACCTTCTTCTAGCCTTTGCCTAGATAGGCAGGACCTACAAGGCACCAGAAGTGGATTTGTTTTTGAAGTTACCTTCTTCTAGCCTTTGCCTATAGAGGCAGGACCTACAAGGAAGCAGAAGTTGATTTTTTTTTTAAGTTACCTTCTTCTAACCTTTGCTATTACTTGACAGACTTGTTGCTATCCAACACTATAGGACTCCATTTGTCTAGTTATTTTACCTGTACTGGGGGAGATGAATTTATACCTTTCCCAAAGAAAGTGAGTGTAATGAACTCGATTGTTATTTGAACGCGCCTCTCCGATTGCTCAGTCCAAGCCGCTAACCATTACTCCAGTGTTAAGAAAAGATTTTTGTTCACCCAGATGTTTACTTACCCGCTTTCTCCTCTGTTAACTTTTGCAGCATGCCTGTGACGCGAGCTTTCTAAAATCTCTGACCTTGCTAAAGAATACAGGGAGAAAAAGAGTTCACGGTAGTCTAGGTATTCTAGCGCAAATATACGGAGCCTTTTTCGTCTGTGTTATTAACCACTAAGCCTCCCAGAGCCACCCCCACCCACAGAAGCCCATGCGCAAAAGCGCATGCGCATGGGCGCAAAAGCGCACGCGCGTGTGCACTCGACAAACCCTGTGTCAACAATGATTTCAAACATCAAGAAACATCAAGTATTCCTTTTACATACAAGTTCATTCACACCCAAATTTAGCTTAAAATTATATAGAAAGAGCAATAGAAATTAGAAAATGCACAGCTATCTTTCCCACTCTCTTACTAATCGCTTTTTATACATTTTTTAATGTTTTCCTATCTTCCACTTTTTATCAGTCTCTCCTTCTCTCTTTCCCTCATTTCTTTCCTTTCTCTTTCTCTCTCTCTCTCTCTCTCTCTCTCTCTCTCTGCCAATCTCTCTCACTCCTCCTGTATTTCCTAATTACGACTTTTCTTCTCACTACCATTTTTCCCACTTTTTCTTCATATTTTTAAAATTTTTCTTCCCTTCTCTTTCTCTCCTTCCTTCTTTCTCTCGTTTATTTTCACCCTTCTCTTTTTCTCAACCATTATATCCTCCTCTTCATCTTTCTTTCTAATAAGCATTTTCTCCCCTGCACATATTTCCCACTTTACATTTGTCTCTCCGAAGTATACTCTTTATTCTTCCTTTTTATTTTTCTCTCTTTCAATTCTAACTTTCTCTCTCCCTCTCTCTTCCTTTCTGTTGCCTCTCTCTCTCTCTCTCTCTCTCTCTCTCTCTCTCTCTCTCTCTCTCTCTCTCTCTCTTGTCCCCCTCTTTTGTGCATGGAGTCATTTACAGGGATATTCACGCGAATTATCACCCTTTACACATCAGTGGATCGAATTTTAAATACCTAAACAGACTGTTTACTTGAAATTTAAAGAGAAATTTAAAAGAGAAAAAACGGCCTATTATAAAAAGCATCGATCAGCTTAACGTGGATTTGAAAACAAAAAATCAATATAAACATAAGACACATACACACACACACACACACATATATATATATATATATATATATATATATATATATATATATCAAGATTGCACAATTGTTTTTTAAATAAATCTATTGATGGGTTAGTTTCATGTTTCTGTTGTAGCTCATTGAAAAATAATTTTCTTTTAATATTCTTTTTCCTTGTTGAATGTTATTGTTTAACTTTTAGGAATTATTTTTTGAGCGGGAAACTTAAACGAAATGACCTTTAAACTCATCGATTCCATAAATAAATAAAATGACTATTTTTGTACGTTATAACGCATATTTTGCACTTGAGAATAAAATTGTACCTCTCTAAAATGATTGCTTTCGAAAAACTACATAGTAAGAGAGTCTCTTAACGATTGCCATCCGTAATTTTTATTAGTGCGTGTTAATAAAAATTATGGAGGGCAATTGTTAGGAGATTCTTAATAATTTAGTGAGTTCGATTCTCTCTGAGGGCTCTTCACATTGTGGGCTCGGTCGAAACTAATGCAACCTTAGTAAATAACGCATTAGGAAACAGTGAGACAGAATGCATGGTCATCAGTCAAAGGATGAGCCCGAAATGCGATTTACAGGTTGGGGACACTAGAATCAAGCAGGTGCCGAAGTTTAAATATCTTGGAAGTGTTTTAACGTAAACATATACATTGGCTTGCATAATAACATCTGACATAATGTAATATTTCGAGATTAGATCAGTTTATTACTTAATAACAATAGAAAACTGATCACCCACTTTGTGACCAGTAGATTCTTCTGTTAATATCTAATGTAAATATATCTAGGAAAATGTTCTCATCATTGGTTGGTTAATACCAATTTTATTGTGAAAACATTTTCCCAAGAGCATTTGAACATAAGTCAATATAATGAACCAGACTGGAATAGAAACTTGGCTCTTTCATCTCCAATTCTAAGCTGTTATTCCTTACACACCCGTAAATCGAATCCCACAATTCCTGGCATTCCCATCTACGTTATACATCTAGATACTAACCAGGTTTGATGTTGCTTAACTTTGGTGATCCTACAAGAATTGGTATTTCAACGTGATATGGCTCTAAGCAAATTTGCATGGCTGTCAGGCTTTTACTTGTATCGTTTTAGAGGAATCATTTTATTACATAAAAAAAGAAAGCCGATCGCCCTCTTTATGACCAGTAGACACTTCTATTAATATTTAACCTAAATATTTTCCCATCATCGGTTGGTTAATATGAATTTTATTGTGAGAACATTTTCTTGCATAATAACATCTGACATAGTGTAGTATTTCGAGAATAAATCTATTTATTACTTAATAACAATAGAAAACTGATCACCCACTTTATGACCAGTAGATACTTCTGTTAATGTTTAACGTAAATATGTCGTGGTAAATGTTCCCATCATCGATTGGTTAATACCAATTTTATTGTGAAAACATTGAATTGCATAATAACATCTGACATAATTTATCATGTTTCTCACTATCTCGAATTTATTTCCAAGAATTAAACACAAGAATCGCATGTTCCACAAGATAATGAACCTCACCATACTGTAGGTCCTACCAACAAGTTTTTAGATACCATGGCAATAAAAATTATGTTCTGGCCTCGCCAGAGACAAGATTTAAATCCCATAAATAATGTATGGACTCATATTAATCACAAACTGTCTTGAAGACAGTTCACAAAAACAAATCAACTGTGGAAAACCGGCAAGCAGGATTGATACAATACAATATTGATATTTCCCGATCTAAGAAGCTTACTACAATGATGACTAACACATTTACATGCTTAAGGTGACCCAAAGGATATGTAAGCCTATATTAATTATGAAAATATTTTCTTATGTTTGCTTTCTTTCAGATTTTCTGCTGCCTTTACTTCCATGAAAATGTTAAAACTGCTCTGTCTTATTTACTGTTAATCCTAATATATATATATATATATATATATATATATATATATATATATATATATATATTAGAAAAATATATATATATTAGAAAAACCATTGATGGAACCAACAGAAAACTTGCCAAGACGTTTAAACTCTTATTCAGATAAAGTCTCGAACAAAAACGACAATACTGAAAAAAAGGAAAAAGGCCTAAAGGTAAACCGGTAAATTTCTCGAAGACTAGATTGCCTAGACAAAGCCCCCAAACCTTTGGAAATATTAAATACTATGAAAGGATGGTCATAACCAGAGTTTCACGCACACGCGATCTTCAGACAACCTTTACGCCTTTAGATAACAAGAAAAGCACTCTGTGTTACAATTACATATTAACCAGCTTTAAAAATCCCTTTCAACAGAAAGACATGGTGGTAAACGATGGTATATATATATATATATATATATATATATATATATATATATATATAGATATATATATATTAGGAAATAGACAAGGTCCGACAATTATTTTATGACATTTTTAGGTTGATACATTCTTTTTTATAGATACAAATATTTAAGTAAATGCTCTGTTTATAATAAACACTATTAACGAAATTTACCGGCCTGAATGTCCAAGAAATTTTCATTGAATCGAACCTGTATTCTATAAGCAATCGTCATATAGGATGCAGGTTTGATTCCTGTCGGAGGACGCATATTTTCTATGAACATTTCTCGGACATTCAGGTCGGTAAATGTCATTAATACTGTTAATTATAAACAGAGCATTTACTTTATCTATAAAAAGAACGTATAAACATAAAAAATGTCTAAAAATATATATATATAATTAATACAAATAAAATTTGTCATTTAGCTGATTGATGTTATATTCAGCACCTCAACACTGGGTTTTTTAGACGAACCGATTTGCAATCATTCTGTTCACTCGTCAGGAAGTGGAACTATTGGAAAACAGTTCGTCTACGAAATCCCCTGAGCTGAAGTGCTGAATATAACATCAATCAGGTAAATGACAAAAAGTGTAGGTATCATAGAGGAAAGTTTATTAGAACAATTACTATGAAAGTATTCATTAAAAAAATTTTTTTTTTAAAGTACAGAGAAGATACGTTCCGGTTGTTGGAAAGTGACTGAAGACGAGATACCAGTTCAGGACCAATAATATATATTTTTGATTGATAGTTCTTCTTCACTATGCCTCTTGCTCTGTAACGCTCTACATCGAGTGATTCTTAGGCATTGTAAAGGGTGAAAATTAATGTAAAATAAACTCAGCATACAGATGCGCATTTAATATTAAGCAAGCTTTAATTAATTAACTTAAAATGCAAATTTAAATTGAAATATCAAATGTATAAACTATAGTTGTATTTAATATTGAATCTACTTAAACATGAGCAAAATTATACTCATTTTTTTCTGAACAATATTTAATATTCATTTTTAATACCTTTGTCTTTTCTTATCATCATATGGGATGCGGCAGAAATACCTCCCACATTTTAAACGTTGACAAAAAGATAACGGCAATTAAAAAAATTATTTCACCGTTGTTTAAAGAAAGGGTTATTGTTTTTATTCATTTGGTTTTATAAATAACATCCTCCAAATGGTTGTTTATATTCACCATACATTCTTTTGGACGATTTCTAAAGTTTTCCATCAATCGCTCCGAGGTCTTCCATATTGCGTACTTCGAGGTCTGCCAGGTGACGTTCTTCGAGGTCTTCCAGGTGGCGTTCTTCGAGATCTTCTAGATGGCGTTCTTCGAGATCTTGCAAGTGGCGTTCTTTGACATCTTCCAGGTGACGTCCTTCGAGGTCTTCCAAGTGCCGTTCATCGAAGTCTTCCAAGTGCCGTTCATCAAAGTCTGCTAGGTGGCGTTCTTCAAGATCTTCCAGATGGCGTTCTTCGATATCTTCCAGGTGGCGTTCTTCGAAGTCTGCTACATGGCGTTCTTCGCGATCTTCTAGGTGGCGTTCTTCGAAGTCTGCTAGATGGCGTTCTTCGCGATCTTCCAGGTGGCGTTCTTCGAAGTCTGCTAGATGGCGTTCTTCGCGATCTTCCAGGTGGCGTTCTTCGAAGTCTGCTACATGGCGTTCTTCGCGATCTTCTAGGTGGCGTTCTTCGAAGTCTGCTAGATGGCGTTCTTCGCGATCTTCCAGGTGGCGTTCTTCGAAGTCTGCTACATGGCGTTATTCGCGATCTTCCAGGTGGCGTTCTTCGAAGTCTGCTACATGGCGTTCTTCGCGATCTTCTAGGTGGCGTTCTTCGAAGTCTGCTAGATGGCGTTCTTCGCGATCTTCCAGGTGGCGTTCTTCGAGATCTTGCGTGCGGGCGTTCTTTTAAGCGTTGAACCTGTAGGCCTGAAATTTTTAATCCATAGCAGTATCGACTTCCTATCAGCATTATTCAGACTAACATGAAATAGGCAGGAAAAGCTTTCTGTATTTCAATTACAGATTCACCAGTCTTAGAAAATGTTTCAACAGCAAACGTACGGTGTGCACCGGTCTAAACCATGATCGCAATTAATGGTGTCTGAAAAGAAAACGGCAAGATATTAACTAAATGGAGACATGGTTATCACTTGCCTAAGTTCACTATCACCAAAAAGGTGACAGTTTAAAATGTGGGAAATATTTCTGCCGAACCCTGTACATTGATCTAATCATACAAGTTTTTAAGCGTTCCCATTGAAACCCGTGTAAATAATATATGGTTTTGCGAGAAATATTTCAGTGCAGACTCCTGTTTTGTTTTGTCTTGTCTATTTTTGCCTTATTTGGAACAATACGAAGGTTCGGAGATAATTAAAAGCCCCAAAAAATGGCTGATTGCGTAACATCTCGCCTGAAAACATTTTCGTATAATTTGTTGCCACTGACGAAAAACCAATTATTGCTCCGTTTGTCTTTTCTTTTTACTTAATGTCTTCAATAAATAAATAAATAAATATGACATGAAAGTAGGTGCCTCAAGCATCACTGAAAATACCTCGATTAGTTTCATGAGGTAATGTTTAGAAAATGAAAATTAACTGTCTTCTTCTTTAAAGATTTTCTTTTTTTTTTCTGTCAAATCGAAGCGCCTGCAATGTTTTTGCCAAGAACGGGTGTTCTCATTCAGAACCTTTTAGATTTGCGTCAATCATTCTAAGACGAAATGGATCAATCGCAGTAGCCGGCTCCTCCTTTTCCAGGCTGAGGAGCTACTGAATTTCTCTGAACCAGCTCTCTATGATAAAATTAATACGCAGTAGGTTCAGTAATTTTTTTATTACGCAAGTTTCTTTAATTTTCTAGAAGAACGAACACATATTTATTCACTCGTGTATATATATATATATATATATATATATATATATATATATATAATATATATAATATATAACGAAATGGACTAAGTCCGACAATTATTTTAATATATTTTCTGTTTATACATTATTTTATACATACAAATAAATATGTAAATGCTCTGTTTATAATGTAGTTAATAATGTTTATTATAAACAGAGCATTTACTTAAATATTTGTATCTATAAAAATAATATATAAGCACAATATATATATAAATATATATATATACATACAAATATATATATATATAGATAGATAGAAAGATAGATAGACAGAAAGAAAGAAAGAGAGAGAAAGGGAGAGAAAGAGATGGACACATACGCACACACACACACACACACATATATATATATATATAGAGAGAGAGAGAGAGATTAAACACAAGGAAAACCTAGATGAAGACAAAAGTATGTTTTTTACTAAAATTCTTACATTTGCCTTGATAAAGTCCATTAGAGAATGAAACGCGTCAAATAAGACAACTTTTATTTTTAATTCATTTTGTCCTTTTACACATATATTTTTAGTTATACCGAAATTTTACAAACACACCCACACATATATATGTATATATTTATATATATATATGTGTGTGTGTTTGTGTGTGTGTTTGCGTGTGTGTGTTTGTAGGTTGCCTAATAGTATCCGAAACAAAAGTTAATATATTGAGACAAAGGAGAAACGACGCGTTTCACCGAAAGAACGGCTGCTATATTTGGCTTCTTCAGGCGAGCATGAAAGACGCAACTGTATGCTGGAGAAAATCTGTCGGCTTAATAAATAAACATTCCATTATTTCTTTTGTATATATATATATATATATATATATATATATATATATATATATATATATCTTTAAATATGACATACAAGGAAAATTTAATTAATTTTTATTTAGTTTTTCCAGCGTTCTGAAGTTTTTCCGATGCTACCCAAATATACATTTATATGTATATATATATATATATATATATATAAATTTCATCAATGTATACACACATATATGTGACTATAAGTATACACACACACATACACATGTAAATATATCATATATATATATATATATATATCTGTGTGTGTGTGTCTATGTGTGTGTTTGAGGATGTGTGTGCGCGTGACCGACCAGTTAGAATTTTTTTTTTTCCGACCCTGAAACCAGGAATCGAATCTCGCCATGGTCGAGTTGTCAGGAAGATTACTTCTTGAGGCGTACTTTAGAAAGTGCCTGAAATGGTGCCACTGTTCGGAGACCGCCAACGGTTATGCTAACAGTAACTCAGAATTCATAAACGTGAGTGTAAAACAAGTGTCCCTTTTTTATAAGAAATGGCAAATAAGATACCTTCAACATAGTTGCAATATAAACTTCAGGAGAAAAAAAAAATATATATATATATATATAGTAGTACACAATAAAATCACAAATTACCTCATATTGGGAATACACCTATTTCAACCGACGAAAACCGCGTCAGTCTTATTCAACCCTATTTTATAGACTAAGTTCCTGTCGGAATTAGAAATTCAACTGTGACAGCTGTCGAAAAATTAATACAGAATTTATCCATTTCAATGTTTCAGTCAGACTAAAGGCATGAGACAGTGGTCAGGGGAGGGTGGAAGGTATTATCGTTAAAGGGCAAGAGGTTTCATAAAATGAAACCCGGATATTAACCTTATGGCATTAAGTTAGGGTTATATGATGAATGACCTGTTAATTTGAAACTAAGAGAGGAATGAAAAGTTTTTTTAATTATATACATAAGTTTAAATTTTGAAAATACAAGTTCCTAATTAAAGTACTCTTCCAAAGATAATTTTTACGATATATTATAACATATATTTAATAAATTACAAATATTCCTCTCCGACTTGTATTTTCATGCACATCGCTTATCTTCAGGTGCTGGGTATAAACTGGCCGTAACGTAATTTAAATTTCAAAAATTATATCTAGTTATCATAATGTTGGCGTAGATATATATTACAGTGGGGTTACAGATTTTTAATCTTAAAAATTATATTTAACATTTAAAATAAACGGAATTTGTATATATATATATATATATGTGTGTGTGTGTGTGTGTGTGTGTGTGTGTGTGTGTATGCGTGTATGCATGTATGTATGTATGTATAAAGAAAATAATTAAAGAATCTTTTTATTTTAGAGAGGCGAATATTAATTTTTTTATTATTAAAAGGAGATTACTTGTCAACTTTTATATATATATATATATATATATATATATATATATATATATATATATATATATTTAACGTAATTTGCCTACAAAATAAACCATAATTTATATTAAAAATTAAAAATTAATCTGGATCTACGTATTTCAGCAGATATGAATTTTTATGCCTACATGTAACCATGAATTCATGTCTCCTGTTATGTAACCATCAATTTCTTTCTAGGGTTATTTAAGTGTTTTAAGATAACCAATCTTTTAACATGGCATAAGTTACATTTACATTCCCGTTAAAAGATTTAGCTCAAATTATAATATCCCAGTTAATTGTTATTTTTGTTAAAAATCGTTTTTAATGTTGGTGAATGGTTATTCAATTTAGGAAAATTCTTCCGATATTCGTTTGAACATTATGAATAAAAGGTGTATTAAACCATATAGTTTTACGCTTACGATGTTTCTGCTTATTTTTACCGTCTTTGTTTTCTTTCTAAATACTCTAAATTCACTTGATGATTGCTTAGTCCTAAAACATTTATATATTTCATTTTATTATTAGTAAATATTTCCTTATTGCTGGAGTTGGTAGATAATATAACTTGGACTGATTTGTATAAATTATCTTGAATTTTGTGGTGGTTGTTTGATCCTTTACTGACGTATCTATGATTATATAGGTCTTTGGTATATAGTTTGTAATAACCATTATTCAAGTACAATGTCACATAGAAAAGCTTGATCACTTTAGCATTAGTTGTGGTAGTAATATTTAATTCGTGATCTTTAAAAAAATTCAGTTCCTTTTTCAATCGGTCTATATTTCGTGGGCTTGTTTTACAGAGGAGAATCATACCGCTATCTCTGTAGAGTCCGGTGTCCTTAATGTCAAAAGTAAATCTAAGTCTCTACAGTAGTAATATTTCAACTAAATCGCATGGCTCTGCTGAGTCAAACGATCCCATTGCAATATTAAATTTTGGGTTATTTCTTTTGGTCATTATTATTATTATTATTATGAAATAGTATAGGTTTTTGTACTTGCTTTATAATATATATTTTGCGATCGTTATTAGGACAGTCATGATTTGCTAGCCTTACAGCAGCCATTAGTAGATTCTCGGTGATGGACGGGTAAAAGGCACAAATATCGATTTGGATCAATGTACATTCATTATTCCTTTTTATGTTAGTAAACCATTCTTTTGTTGTTTTGAGCCATGGATTAATTCCTAGTATAGTGCATTGGTGTATTTGCATGCTCTTTCAAGAATGTGTTTGCTCATTTTACCGATATTATTTTTAGCTGGGTTGAGTAATCGGTATTGAGGTTTGTTTAAGTCTTTGATTTTTCGCTTAAACATATATATACAAATCTCATTTATTTTAAATGCTAAGTATAATTTTTAAAAGTCAAAGAATAATTGTAATCCCAGCATAGCCAGATATATTTTTTTACGTAACGGCTTTTCTATACTCAACACCTGAATATTGCGTGATGCATGAATCTCAGAGCCGTAATAAGGTATATTTATTAACATATACTTAATAGCTCTTTTGTATTACGATGAGCACTGTTTTATTAACACCAGCACTATATGTGCAATATGTTATAATTATATTCATACACACACACACACACACATATATATTTTCCTTTTTCCCATATAATTTCCGTTGAACTCACCGATTAAATAGGTGAATGTCTGATC